CAATACCTGAATATAAACCCGTGTGGTATCGGTGGGGTGACAGACAGCATACGATCTCCAGCACTGACGTCAAGGGTCCACTCAATATCCCGCGTCTTCTCTCAGGTTTCTCCTCACTATTCTACAATTCGACTCCCTTGTCCGACTCACTCACTTGACATACCTGACTCGACCCGACCCGACCCCCGCTACTCTCTCGCGCGACCCTTTTATTCCGTTATGCCGGACATGCGCATTATCTTTTACTGTGATTTCATCATCTTTATAAAAGTACCTCCTACATAATTTTACTTCTTCTATCGTCCCGATAATTTGTAGTTCGCGTGAAGTCGACGCTAACCACATAAAAAAAGCCTGTTTTATTCTATAATTATTCTTTCCGCTGGCCGCTGGGCGATCGGCCTCTTCGCTTGCCCCCAGAAGCGGCCCTGATTATGCATGGCGTTTCCACAGCGGAAGTCGTTCGCCTTAGAGCCCCTGGAGGGATATTCTGCAGGGCCCAGCGGCTTAAAACTCTACAAAACAAATGCTACACACCCTCACTTCTCTCATTTACTTCATTCTCACCCCCAAATGATAAATAAATGATAAATAAAGCCCGACAAATTGATGATTTTAATCATTCCTGACAATGACCTGTAACTGGAAGGCCTAGCTATCCATCAGAATCAGACTGATGGATTGCACGCAAGCTTTAAGCCTTGAACGGTCGTGCGAAGTAACACATAGGCCTCCCATCGACCTAAACGCAATGCAGATCGAGGCGAAGGTGCCTACTTCCTAGCAGCTCGGTCAGAAAAACCTCTTGGGTCATCGTGAGAAATCCTGGCAGATTGGGATGGGGTAGGATTCCGTGCTCTTCCCCCATTTCGGGGAAACCACGTGCTCTCACACCGTGGACGCCATCGCTCTTGATGTCGCACGTGGGAAAACAGGCGGAGTCTCACTGTGACGTCACGTCCACAAGGAGCTACTATACACGCTTCAAACTAGATGTCTCTCATTACGGAGGCGAACTAGACCCTCTGGAGGGAATGAGCCTGGAGAAACCTGAGCAAAGGGCGCCATTTTCCCTCCACAGCGCACATCCTCCTATTCTCCCCCTGTCAATTCTTCCTTAAATCGCTCCGATTTCCTCAAATGAGTCACGCTCGTCGAGAGTGGATTCCGTCTCCACGATGCATTTACCGTACACTAACGAAAAACCTTCGGAATGTACTTCCTCATGGCCAGATGCCAGTTTCAAGCCAGCTGAATCCCACTAAGTTGGTTCCCTCTGGGTCTCCGATGTGTCCGACGACTATGTAGAAAGTTCTATTCAAATTTTTTATTTATTTATTCCTATCCTGATTTAATTAAAAATACTTCCATTTTCTTTCTCGAATGTTCCGGCTTACCTATTTCATATTTTATAGACTTCCTCCAAGCATCTCTGCATCCTAGGAAATCAAATATGTAACGAGCTGAAATAATAATAATAATAATTGTGCCTGAAATAATGAGCAAAGAGATGAGCCCTCTGCTGGCATGAGCTGAATTATTCTTGACTTGACCGAACCTAGCTCTGCCGTTTATTTGTGCGGTCATGCATTTTTTCCCGACATCAGATTTCTTTCGGTGATCCCGTTTAACCCTCTTCCAACCGGTTGAAGAAATTGTCATTATTCGGCACGAAGGAAATCTCCAACTACTGTTTTTTTATCGGCTGGAATAGGTACGTCCAACTGACGGAAGCATTGCAAATTCCAAGACCGTTCTTCGTGCTTCAATGGTGCTTACAAATAATTCCGATGTGGCCCGATTTCAAGAGTCGCTGCACAACGCGTCGATCAGACGTGGAACTTCGGCTTCGGCTCCAAGAACGTAGTTGAAAAAGACGCGAAGACTTGAGGAAGGGTCGCGGTCGCCCCCCTTGATGCCCGATTGTGCTGGGTGCGATCAGTCTCCCTATGGAACCGCGAAAGGGGCCAGCCGGGAATCTGCCGCGGGACGGGACATGTACTTTGATCATGCTGATCATGCTGGGAAAGTTGAAGGAGGTGCGCCGAATTAAGTAGTAAGAGTTGAAAGAGGGCACTTTTATATTCGGTGAAACATCTTCCAGTTGAACCAGTGAAATTTGACGAGATGTGTGATCCAGGATTAGCATGACAGTACTTCTCAGTGCATATTTCGTTGATGGCATGAGGTACTTGTAAGTACTAAACGATGAGGATTGATCACACTTACCCCGAATGACCTTATAGGCCTATTAGATAACTTATTTTTCGGCAGCGTTTCATAGGCCTAACCTGAATTCACACCATGAAGATTCGACATTTACGTAAATGCCAACCACTTATAGTTGGGGTAATGTTGAACCGACGCCCAACGGGGCTCCCTACTGGATCGGCTAGGCTTTATGTTATGGTTACCTCACGTGAGCGAGATCAATCTCAGTGTGACCCAGGCTGGACAGGCTCTAGGGGCTCTAGTTCGCCTCCGTAATGAGAGACATCTAGTTTGAAGGGTGTGTAATAGCTCCTCGTGGACGTGACGTCACCGTGAGACTCCGCGCGTTTTCCCACGTGCGAAGTCAAGGGCGATGGCGTCCACGGTGTGAGAGCACGTGGTTTCCCGGAAATGGAGGGAAGAGCACGGAATCCTACCCCATCCCATTCCGCCAGGATTTCTCACGATGAACCAAGAGGTTTTTCTGACCGAGCTGCTAGGAAGTAGGCACCTTCGCCTCGATCTGCATTGCGTTTAGGTCGATGGGAGGCCTATGTTACTTCGCACGACCGTTCAAGGCCTAAGTTAGCGTGCAATTCATCAGTCTGATTCTGATGGATAGCTAGGCCTTCTAGTAACAGGTCATTGCTAGGAATGATTAAAGTCATCAATTTGTCGAGCTTCATTTATACTTTTATTTATCTTTAAGCATTTGGAGGTAAGAATGAAGTAAATGAGAGAAGTGAGGGTGTGGAGCATTTGTTATGTAGAGTTGTAAGCCATTGGGGCCTGCAGAATATCGCATTCAGTGTTGGAGACCTAGTGTTTAAAAGGGATTCGTTCGGCTCTGAGGGGCCTGAGTGCTGGGATTCATTGGTGGGTGAATGAGCTAATACATTTTCCACTCTAAACAAGGCAGAATTTCAGATTTGACCTCATGAGACCCAGAGTTTAATCCAGTGGACAGGGGATCTGCAATTCCATGTGGAAGTTGGGCACCATCAAGACAAAAAGTGTACTTTGTGATGCTGAAGCAAGAATTTATGTAAACATTTAAATTAAAGTGAACAAAAAATATTTCTCTGTCACCATCAGTGTTTGATATTCCCAACTCAGAAGAAATGACTCAGTGTCCCATGGACTGGACACCGAGTCTCATGAGGTTAAAGTTGAAGTGCTGCTTTGCTAGGGGCTTAGAAATCTGTTTTGTCTTAGAGTGCATTCTCAATTCATTTTAGGGTTTCCCATTTCACAGGAAGATTTTCGTTTGCAGGTATTTTAATCACGAAGTTCCATTCTTGCAACCTGCTTTCGGGTCTATCCACCACAAGTACTTACCTTTTTCGGATCAGGTAATCGGCTAAGTAGCCAGCATTGGATCGATTGCAATTTGCTGTAGTCTCAACAAGGTAGGGCCACTACACATGAAGAGAACTTGATTCCCCTGCTCTCAGGTCATTGTTTACAAGTTGTACCTTGTAACTATCACCAAAAGTTGGGTGAGAGGTCCAACCTGGCCCCCTTCTGGAAGGGCTGAATCTTCTGATCTGGTTCGCCAGGAAACATGCTCCATTCTCTTTGATGAGATCCTTAAGGAGTCAGTATGTATTTATTTGGAAACCTAGCTTTATGTGTTACAGTATGTCTTTTCTTGCTGAAGAATTTGATCCATGCATATAGCAATCATAGCATTTGGGAGAGATGAAGTCATAACCGCTGACACAAGGACCAGATGACGATTCAAAAATGGTCACATTCCTGGTAGGTGACGTGAATCTTTGGGTGGAACAATGGCTGCATGTGCATTGAGTCCCCACAACCTGCTTAGAGGCAGTGCAGTCGTGGTTGACAAGTGTCTCTGTTGTGCCTGTTTTACTTGGGCGGTGTGTCTGGAGGTTACTTTCGATCCTCATGACTTTGACTGTGATCATAATCAAAAGGCAAAGTTGAAGGAATCTCTGTGTGATGCAAAGAAAAATTTTCAAATCGGCTCAGCTAAGGAAATAGGATTGCGGGAGAAATTTATCTCTCCTTTGAGGAAGCCACTGGTACCAAAGGTTTACAAGTATGTGAACCAATTTATTTGTTCACTTACCTGTAAATTGTGAAAACAAAAATGGAAAACACTCATGCACACTAGAGCTAATACTGAGAAATTGTTCTGGGCAAACTCAAGGACAAATTGCTTCCCCACAGAGGCTCGGGGGATCCAAGGTCATTCTTTATATTCCTTTGCTAGGTATGCAGTACTAGGCTATCATCCAGGAGAGTAGATTCTTTTCTGTGTAAAAAGCTATATCCCTCTATACCTCTAACTGGGCTCTGTATCATTTGGATTGTCATTTAATAAAATCAACATAAGTATGCCCTAGTAGTTTTGTATGCCAGTCAACATTTGGCAGCACATTCAACCTGCTTATTATTTTGTCTCCACCTGTTATTGTTCTAACATTATCATCCCCATAGCATTTTATCAGATAGTGTCACAAAGTTGATTTTACAGTGGGCACTGTCTTTATTTTTAGGATTATATGATGAGTTTGCCTTCACAGCACCATCAACAACTCACCTGGCTGATGTGGAGAGGTTTCTGCAGTGAAGACCCATGCCTGTTGTCTCTTTGAGAGTCATTTTTCTTGTCTCAATGTTTTTTTTTAGCCTAATGAAGCTGAGAACGTGGATTTGCATTTTTTTTTCATCCTTCTGGACTCAAGTGAATATGTAGGAGTAAAGAGAGACTAATGAGGGCCTCAGTTGACATGACAGTTTAAACATCATTGATGATTTGAACTAATACCTTAACTGCTCCTAGCTGTTCCAGTTGGGAACCAGAAGTATGCATTGGATCTGACTGAGCACAGAAAGGGTGATTGATCATTTGCAGGATGTGGACTGGGTGAACTGTGCCTGCTGCTGGCTTACAACCTCCTTGGATTTGGAGGAGCCAAGTGAGCTGTGGAGATGGGCCACTCTTCTTGTCCTATGTTGCCTCTGCATCTGCTAAGGATATTAGAACACCCTGTCTGAGGCATTTTTGATTCTTCCTCCGTATGAGCTACATGCAATCTTGTGACTTGCTATGATGTACTTCCATGTTCATGGAGGTCTTCTGGACATGCTCTCATGGACTGTCTGCATATGAAAATCATAATTTATTTATAGATATATGAGCCAGAATCAATGTTAAATGCAGAATTAAGACTACTGTACAATTGAAAATCTCAACCATAAGCCGTCTGATGAAATGATGGGTTTTGTCCTGTATTGATTCTTGACTTGCTTTGCTATGAGTAGATTTCCCTGAATCCACTGGGCAAATTCTTGCATGGAATGTGGAATTGCATGCGCAGGGACAAGGAATGTGGGCAATGGGGTATAAAGTATGATAAGGTATCCTGATATATTACAATTAGGACTACTGTTTGCAACCACGATGCATTTGCAGGACTTCACCCTGACGAGGACCCTTAAGTGAATTTACGATTCTATGATTTTTCTCTGAAGATGCTGGCTTCTCATCTCTTCAAGACATATTCCATGGTCATTATTACCATCAAAACCTGGAAACCATTTGTTGCCTGGGAACCTTCTTTGGTCAAATGAGAGCAACATGGAAGCTCAAAACAAGTCCCGCTCTCATTTAGACCTTGGCCTCAAATCGTCCCCACGAACAATGTCATCTACCTGGGGCATGCCTCTATACATGGAGTTATGGCTTTCAGTCTGAGGTCTGTCAGAGAGATTTTCATCATTATGTTGCTGCTGTTCAGGGAATTAAGGAAGTTTAATATATTTTCAGTCATAAATGGCTATAAGTTTGCTTGAAACTAAGAGATTCATTCATTCCAGTGCTGAATATAATTGGAAAGGTCAGGTCTTGTTAGCTATGTCCTTATCACCAAAAAAAAAGAAGCCTTAGATGGAAATGGTCATTCTTATTTCCAAAACCTTGGTGAAATAAGGAGAAATTTGAGCTGGGAGCTTTTATTATCTGAACCAAGGAACTGGAGGGGCCAGTAGAGCAGCAAAGGAAACCGAGGCAGAGCGGCCCATCCCTCGACCTTTGAGTGTAGGGAGGATCTTGGAAGCCGTTAGTGTTGGAGCTCTGGCTGCCCTGGCCTTACTTATTGCATGCTCTGTAATTGTTTCTTTCTTTTCCTTTTTAATTCCTCCTTCAATCTTCCTGTCACTGCATCTCATGCAATTGTGCTGTTCACAGAGTGCATGTGCTTGATACATCTGTTAGGGTGAGAGTTCCATCAGCATTTATTGGAAAGCAATGTTTTAAAACATTTAAAACTTTAAATTTGAAGCATATATTCAATTTATTTAGGAAACATGAGCAATCAAGAATATATTTCAGTCCTTTAGAAATAAATAGACTTGCTTAAAGGGGCATGGAAACATGCATTTCTCCTGCTTCCTTCTCCAGTTCTTCATCAATGATCCCCGATGACAAGTTCAAGTAAAAACTTTTTCTCCCTGTGCCTATTAGGAATCAGTGGAGGAGTCCTGTGGCTCAGTGAATGTGGTCCTTGGCTTCTGGAGCAGAAGGAGTTGAGACCAGAAGGAGGGTTTGTATGAGTCCTCTCTCTCCTCCATCATTGTCAGTTATGCAGAATGCCCTTTGCATTCAGATCATCTTATTTGCCTCTCTCTTGCAAGATCTTCCCTTTCTGGCCTGAATCTACCTGTTACATGTTGAGGTGCAACCATATTTTTTCAATTGTCAAATCCCAGCAAGTATTGGTAAGGGCATTAGGTAACATCGGTGAAACTATGAAGCTAATTTGTATTTTCCCCTTCCAATCCCCCCTAACCCCTACAAAGAATGCTAACTCCATTAGGCTTATTAACAGATGTGGCAGCCATGTTGTCCATTTTTCCTTGCAGTCTTAAATGTTACTTTTAACATGAGTCCCTTCCAAAAGTTTCACTTGCTTCAAACAATGCATGAGTGTGAACTGTTAGCAATTTCTCACGCCTCTCTTGAAAGACGAGGGGTTAAGGCCAACCAGATTGACACTAGTGCAAGCATGTTTACATTTTGGAAAGTCTTCCAATGAAAAATAGAACAGTGAAAGAAACCATGCCTAATGAATCAGGGTGGTCAAGGAGTCACTGGGCAGTAAAATTAATTCATTTTGTGGCTTTAATTTAGTACTATTCTGCACATCACATGTCATCATTGAAGACAGAAATTCACATGTACTACTTCACCAAATATTTGCACCATCCGTGATGCGTAATTGTCTGTACATCCCATCTACAATGGGGCTTCCTACATCGTATCATGAACTCTACTGCACAATGACTTCTTAATCACCCTCCAGCTTCATGTTTGAGTTCCTTGCTTTGTATATTTTCCTATGAAGGCCTATTTAGTATATACGCTTAGTCGTTATTTTGTTTTCAATCAGCATGCTGTTTATGATGTGACCTATTTTCCTCTTGGAAGGTTTTCCTAATCTGTGTGATTGATCTCTTTTGTTTCCATCCAGGGCCCTGCAAGGATGGGGAGGGGAAGTTGGAGTCACTGCTTTGCCTGTCATTGGGATCCCTTGGGTCTTGGAGCGAGCCTGCTGGGGGAGACCATGACACCACCAAGACCAATGTGGGGCTGACCATCTCAGCCAGTTAGCTGCTTCATGCAGGTCTGCTCCATCGAGGGCTCATCAGGTGTCCTCTGCCTGTCCCGCTTTACTGCACCCTAGCTTGCTGTTGCTCAGCTCTGGTCCCTTATGGTCTGAGTTCCATGAATCACCACTATATTTGTCCATTTATTCCATCTTATGTAGTTATTTTGATAAATTTTTATTGTGGCTCATTTGTACTTTCTTTTCAGCATCAGGTCTTATTAGTCACTTAAAACTTTTCAGGTGAGAGTTATGTCACATGTAGCTATGAATTTTCACATCCTTTATGAATAGTTTACTGATAATGTTTTGAGATTTTTTACTTTTAGCCTGTATTTAGTTTTGTTTCATGCAAATCATTGCTGGTAAACAAGGTTAAGAAACATATAGCATTGAAGTGTTTAAGGAATTTTCAATTTTGTATGCAATATTATGTAATTATCTGTTGGTGAATAATTATGATCTAATTGCTTGTAAACCAATTCCACCAATTTGTTGAAAAGTCATTAATCAGTCCTGACAGAGTTGGAATTCACTGCTTGTGATCAATTCCTACACCATAAAATCTGTGTGAAGTTCAGTGACCCTCGCGTTTGGACAAAGTTTTCTTTTGGATTAAATTCCTCATTGTCAGAGCAAAATTTACTCCACCCATCCATTATCAGCAAATATGAATGAACATGGAGAGTAATTGGATTCTCAGGTACAACTACTGGTCCTTGCAGGAAGTTTCATGGAGAGATCTTAGATCAAACTAGATTCTGAAGGAGAACCAGCAGAGTGAGATCCTTCTGTAGCATGGACTTGAAAAGGTCCAGGGTCCCGTGCGGAATTATCGGTCTCATTCTGCAATGGGCTAATTGTGAGTCAATTGAATAGCAATTGAAATGGAACTGAACATGTTTAAATTTTTCCAAAAAGATTGATTTTGTTAGGTGTTTGATTGGGATTTAATTGGAGAGTTCAATTGATTCAAAAATTTTCCAAAATGCATGTAATTTGCATGTTTCATTTCAATTGCACTAATATTTTGCAGTTGCTTTCTATGCAGAATGTTTCATAAAAATAAGCAGTGATACAGTTAGTGCTTTGGTCTGTGATATTGATTTAATGTGCTTTGTGTAAAAAATTTTTGGGGGTTGGCAACTGAAACCAAGTTTTTCTTTTTTTTCTCAAAAGGAATTGAGAATTTGACTTTGGGAGTCAATTATAAATTTTCCCATCACTGTTCCCAGCACAGATGTGCCCCTCATGAGAAACAGATGCAATGGAATTGAACTGATTATGTCTTGCAGGGTTGTGGGCTGAGGACATCATTGCCAGCATATGTGAAGGAAGAAGGTCACAGGGACTACATGTATCAGATGCTGCCCTTACATTCCTCCTCTACTGGGAAGCTTTCCAAAGTTGCTATGTCTTGCAGGGTTGTGGGCTGAGGACATCATTGCCAGCATATGTGAAGGAAGAAGGTCACAGGGACTACATGTATTAGATGCTGCCCTTACATTCCTCCTCTACTGGGAAGCTTTCCAAAGTTGCATGGGCAACTTTCGGGAGATTGGGATGATCTCCCTGATGATGAGCCACTAAGACCTGCTTAATGATGCCCATTCCTTGTCCTTCATCAATGCTGCCCTCATCTCTTTCACTCATGCTGCTGAGTCTAGGTCTGATGGATTTTCTTTTCCTAAGAACTGTTTCTAATATCTTGCTTTTTTCAAGAGAATTATTATTCCTCATGACTAACTATGCTGGTCCATTATTCTTTGTAAGGTTAGGATTTTGAATCTATCAACAAAAATTTCCTCAAACTCTTATATTTTAGGGTTGGCCATAAATATTCACACAAATTTAAGTCTTGTTTTTCAGTTGATTGAATGAGACAAAAAAATTCACTGTCATTACTCACTAAATATTTTCATGTCTCTCTGCTTCATCACATTTTGTCTCAATCCGGTCAATACAGCTGCAGTGATCCATCAAATGTTGCAAGAAGTTACTTGACAAATTGTCTTGTCATACTTCAAGAATCTTGAATAGTTTTCAAGATTTTCAGCCAGTAAAAAATAATGATTGGTTCAGCCATCCCTTGGGTTGGGGTTGAGGTGGATCTGAGTGTCTTCACTACTTGCTAAAGGCCTTGAAGGTCACTCAAAATTATTGGAGTATAACAAGGAACTTTTCAAGACACTTCTGTAACATTTGATGGATTACTGCAGCTGTATTGACCAGTTTGAGACAAAATGTGATACAGCATTGCTTCACTCTGGGAATATGACAGATGCCTTACGCACTGAGTTACTACATTGCCTGCCAAACTCTCATTCAAGATTCTAGTCAGATGAGGACTGACACTACACTGCCCAACAGTTTAATCTATTAGTCCATGGAATGGAAATAATTTTTGTTATATTAACAGACTCGCAAAAAAATCAGCCCTGGAACTTTATTGCCACACCTCGTATATTATGTACTAATTTGTTTGAAGGATTAAGATTTATTGAAGAAATACTCAAACTCTTGTAGTGCATGATGTAAGTCATGGTAAAATATAAACATAAGAGGAATCTAAAATAATGCTGAAAATATTATAAAGGTATGCAAATACACATTGCAAAACATGAATATGTCTTTCGTCACAAAATAAACTGGGAAAAAATAAATAAATATAGTTTGCTGCTCCCTTGAGTATTCCATCAAGAAGCCTCCACAGCAACTTGATAACTTAAATCTAAAATCATGTATGCAGGTATTTTTATTATTATAAAGCTGTCTTAGGTCCAGGTTCATGCTGAAAGTCTTCATTCACATTATGCTGACTGATTGCCCTTCTTCCTCTGGTGAATTGAGTGTAATCCTCAGACTTGTTATAAATTTCAGCATTCGGCCTCCAGCACTGATTGCAGTGAAGCCAAAT